CCCCCCCCCCCCCCAGGTGTTTGGTTTGTGGGAGGTTTACACTGGCTTAACGAGCAGGCTAGCAGTAATTAAATCCAACTTTTTTGATGCCAGCAGTGCAGGACCCTTGGGCCAGAGCGGAGCTCCTGGGGCCGCACAGAGGGCCCGTGCAAGGAATGAGGACCTGGAGGACACGAGGCCCTGTGAGCCCACAGGGTGCAAACATCATCACCATACTTACTGGAGCAAAAGAGGGAAACAACCGATCCAGAGAGGCATTTCCTGCAAGAGGGAGGAAAGGGCTGGATTCAGCGGCGAGGCTCTGGCCCTGCGGCCCGGCTCGGCATCTCCCGTGCAGGGCGGGGGCCACGGCGGCTGCTCCTGCCCAGCCCCGGCACTCACCTGCCCGGCTCAGGCATCTGGAAGCTGCCGTTGCTCAGCACGACCTCGCGGGGAGGCTGGGGCTGCCCTGCGCCCACCTCCACCGCCCGGAAAGTGGGGGTGCTGGAAGACACGGGGGGGGCACGGGTCGGCAAGGGCACCCTGGGGCGGGCAGTGCCAGGCACGCTGCCAGCGGGGCACGGATGCAGGGAGAGGATCAGTACTGGTGCCTGAGCACCTCCGGGAGCCTGGAGACTTGATGGGTTTGGCTCAGACTAAGCCACAGCTGGTATAAGCCAGTTCCAAAACTTCAGGGGCTGAAGCTTTACGAGTGGGTCCTAGATGTTGGCCCCCGGCCCCACCAAAGAGCTGGGGAGGAAGAGGGAGCTTAGGAAGGGACTGTGGACCCTGCGCCAGCGAGTCAGAGAAAGACCCCGTAGGAAAAGGGGGTTCCTTGGGACAGGGACACAGGGGTGCCGAAAGAGGGGAGTGCCGCAGCCCTGAAGGGCCAGGGGCAGGAGGAGGGTGCTGGCCCCCGAGCCCAGGACCAGGGCCAGGAGCGTATCAAAGGCAGGATTATTCCCTGCCGCGCAGGGGGTGTGGGGCAGGTTGCTCCCCGGGGACCTCAGGGCTGTCCCTGGGGCCTGTGTTCAAAAGCTCAGTCCCTGCTATTCTGGAACTGGAAACACCCTCTTGGGCCCAGCTTAGGCTCCCAGAAGGGCTCAAGCACCAGAACCCATCTTCTCCCTAGTATGCGCCTAACTTAAGTCAAAGTCTCCCTTAATCCCGGGCCGATAGCGAACATGCAGCACTAGCAAGCTACTGCCCCAGATTCTTGGCTTTAACCAGCTTTAGTTGAACGCGGCACCACAAATGCGAGGCAAACACCGCTGGGTGATGCACCGCAGTTGCAGGGACCCAGCTCTGCCCCCAGCTGTGCAGCACCCACCCCCAGCATTAGGGCTGAGCTCCGGGTGCTTCGGAAGTGAACAGAGCTCTGCCCCGACAGAGCTCTCATGGGAGAGCCTGGATAAAGCAGGCAAGAGGGCTGGGGAGAGCAGAAAGCAGCCACGTACCTCCTGTAGCCCATCTGCTCGCAGGCTGCTTTCGCCAGCGCCAGGTTGAAGTGATCGTGGCAGATGCAGGACCAGGCTCCAGTGTTCCTGTTCAGCACCTGAAGGATGGATCTGTCTTTGGAAACGCGGGCTGGAGACAAGACACAGAGTCGGCTTTAGCAGGCAGGGGCTTGCTGCAGCAGCCCAGCCCCTCCAGAGCTCTAGCAGGGTGTCCTGGACTCACCCCCGGCTGGTGGCCCCTCAGGGACCCACTGGGGACAGTTGGCCTCGTCCTCGCCCTGCAGACAGTCCACCTGCCCGTCACACACCTGCTGCAGCGGCACCAGCTTCAGGGGCTGCTTGCAGAAGAAGTAGTGGTAGTCCAGGTAAACCTTGACTAGAGGGAAAGGAGGAGCTCAGCGCTGAGCTCGCGCTGCTGGCCAGGTCCTGGCTAGCCCTGGGTCCGGAGCCGTGGCTGCCGAGCCGTGGCTGTGCCCAGCAGCGGCAGGAGGCGGGGGGAGAGGAGAGCAGGAGCCGTACCCAGGAACCCGACCGTAACCAGGCAGGCGAGGCTGAGCACCGCTGCCAGGACGGGGATGCCGATCCGCTTGAAGGACTCCAGCGCCGTGGAGGCTTTGCGCCTTGTGCTGGGACCTGCAACGCAGAGGAGCGTGGTCCTGTGTCACCGGGCCCAGCTGGCAGCACCCGCGGCCCCGGGTCCCGTCACCGTTACCTCTGCCATTCAGCCGCTCAGAGGCTAAATCCTGCAAAGCAGAGGGGAAAAGCAGTTACCGAGCTGAAACCTCAGCCCCAAAGCAGTTGGCAGGTGGGGGGATCTGTAGCAGCGTGGCTAGCTGGCAATTCCCACGCCAGCCCAGAGGCTGCTCTCTCCCTCCTTGGCTTGCTCGAGCCCCACCCGGAGAATTAGGGGGGGAAACTGCCCCAACCTACAGCTGCGGGCGCTTTAGAGCTGCTGAGGATGGAGGTGGCAACGGGGGGGCGGCACGTCCTGATGCGATAGCGCTTGGCTCTGGTGTCGCCAGGGATCATCGCTCTGTTGTTCCCACGGACACCACCTGTACGGTTCCAGTAACGGGTTATTAACGCTACAGAGCTGCCTCGAATGCACCAGGGGCTGAAGAATTCATCGCCGTTAGGAAAGAGGCACTCATAGATGTGCCGAGAACCCCTGAGTCGGAATACATGTGGCTCTGCGGGGCTGAGCCACCCAGGCATGGCACGACAGGGTTGTATCCTTTGGCTGGCCCAGCGTGGGGTCAGAAAACGGGTGGCTCAGCCCGAGTCCTCCCCCAAGAGTGCTGGAGCTGCCGGAGAAACCAGCTCGGCCCGTGGGAACAAGTGCTGCCAGGGTGGGGAGGGCGGGCGGCGCCGCTGCTAGGACACGCAGCAAACACAGCCCCGGTAGCCGTCAGCGTGGGACCAAGGGATGAATAAGGCTCCATCCCGCTTGATCGCCTCTGTGCCATTTTCCTGTATTATCTTCTCGCATGAGAGATGCCAAACTGCGGCAGGAAAGGTCCCGCGAGCTGCACCGGCCGCTGCTGAAGGAGCTGCCCCGGTCCTTGGTGGGCGGGTTGGTGCTGGGCAGAGACCAGGGCCCCTCTGCGGGGGTTTCAGGTGGGCACTCGGCAATTCTGTTGCCCTGTTTTGCAGCTGTGGTTGTGCCACGCTGCTGAGAGCGGCTTCCCGGCAGCTTGCGGTTTGAAAGAGTGCTCCTGCCCTGCTGAGGCTGTGGAAAGCAGCGCACTTGCTTTTCCCTTGAACGCCCTCCCAGCCCTGAGCCAGCTCTTCTCCTTTGCTGTCACTTCTGGACTCCACGGTGACAGGTAAGACGAGTTTTTTTGCAGGGCCCGTACCCAGCATGAACAGCGGTAAGGAAGGTTAAAACCACTGCAATAAACCCTCAGATCCAGGGGCACGATTCAGGGGTTTAGAAGCCTTTGCTCCTTCGGGTGCTGAGCTGCAGGAGTTTTCCCCGGGCAGCAGAAGGCTGGTGACGATTGCACCCTGTGCTCTGGGCGATCTGGGACGTTGGGGCTTTGAAGAACAGGGGTGCAGGGAGACCAGGGACCGGCGAGGCTGCGAAGGGGCCGTGCACCCACCCCGGGCTGGCAGGAGGGAGTGGTGGAGCCCTCCCTGGTTGCTGTGTTCGGGCATGTGTGGCCAAGCACAAAGACTCTACCAGCGGGATTTTACGGGCAAGTGCCAAGCGATTATCTGTGGGTTAACACACAAAGATAGCCTGGATTTAATGTGCTGCCAGCTCAGCGGTCGCTGCCCCTCGCCCTCGTTGCCTCCCCACCACGGCCCTGCTGCACGGCTTGGGCTGATGGTTTCGGCTGCTCCCCAGCCCGGGAACACGGAGCGACCTGTGCAGGGCAGGGCCGGATCCTGCGCGGCACTGGCGGGGCCGTGGGCATGTGGCTGTGCCCCAGCACGCAGCTCTCTGGCTCTTTTGAGGAAATGCCAGGGGCCTTTCTGGGCTCGTCTGGCACCGCTGCCGAGCGTGGGCAAGTCGTGGCGAGCACCCGGCCCCGGGATGGGTCCTGCACAGCCCCTCGGGTCTTTGCGGCTCCCGCGGTGCTACCAGGGGGTCCCAGCTGCGGATCGGCCCCCGGTGGCGCTGAGCCCAGCTCCTGGTGGCAGGGAGTGGGAGCTGTGGGAGCAGGGTGGGAAGGGGAGCGTGTCTCCCCGACCTCCCATCTCGGCTGCCCTTCCCGAGCTGTTCATCTGCAGGAGCCCTCGGAGTTTTGTAACGCGGCTTGGCTTGCTCCCAGACGGCACCTCTGTCCTCCAGCGCAGGCAGCCGAGGGCACGTGGGGCCGGTCCTTCCTCATGCTGACCTCTTGTGTCACCGTGGGCCCGGGCCGGGCATGGCCCCGATAATGGGATCCTAACGGTTCCCTGCAGGAACGGTCCCAGGGCCCCGGCCCCAGCAGCTCCCCCAGGCTCCAGGGCACGGCCGGGGCTCTGTGGCCGAGGGGCACCGCGGCTGCCCCCGCCTGCCCACGAGCTGCCTGTACTTGTGCCCGTCGTGTCGCCTCCTCTGACATCCCTGCGCAGGTCTGGTGCGGATGCAGGTGGGAGGCGTGATGCTGCGGTGCTGGCCGCCTTCCCACACAGAGGAGGTACTGCCTGGTTTTGATTTTTTTTTTTTTTTTGCATTCTCTCCAGTCCGTGAACCTCCTCTGTTTCAAACAGATTCACAGCTTGGACCTGCCCCAGGGGCTGCCTCTCCATGACCACCCACTTGCTCTCAAATCCACCCTACAGGCAAGAGGTGCACTGGTTAAACTCAAAGCGAAGCAAGAGCCGTGCCAGCTCCTGCGTGGAGTGGAAGCACATGATTTCCTGGAGAACTCGAGGCTACCGTAACTAATTGAGCTCCCTTGCCGTATTCTCTGGAAGCACGTTGGTGCCTCTGTGGCCAGCCTGCACCCCAGCTCTGCAGATGCCGGCCCACGAGCCACAGGCTCCGATGAAGTTCTGCGCCCTGGGCAGCCGGGCTGCCGTCGGCCTCGTGCCGTCTGCGCCCGCGGTGTGGGGCTGAAAGGCTCTGTGGGGCACTGGGTCGCTGTGCCGGCCCCCCCGAGCGAGGGAGGTGGGATGTTCCTGTGCAAAGCCCAGCTTCAGAGGGTGCAGGGCCCGGGGCTGACTCCTTGGCCACACGGGATTTAACCCATGGGGGTGTGTAGCCGCTGCTGCCTGCACCCCCAAGGGGATGATGTCCCCATGAATCGCTGGAGGAGAGGTTTATGGTGCCCAGTAAGCCAGGCCGTACGTGGCTGCCCTCTGTCAGGGAAGTCTTTTCCTCCTAGGGAGGGACTGCATGCCAGCATGGGGTTTGGTGGCCGCGGCTTTGCTTGCAAGAGGCGCCGCAGGAAGCCGAGCCGAGCGTGTCCCTGGTGCTGAGCAGAGGGGCCAGCGGTCCCGCCGTGGGAGCTGCGCTGGGCTTGGGCGCGGGGCTCTTGCCTAAGTTCTTCCTAAGAACCAGCCCCTTCTGGGGACGCTCCAGAAGGACACATTCCCCTTGGTGAGCAGACTTGCCAGACACGCAGCATTGCTCTGCTCCCCGGTCTGGGAGGGGGCCAAGCCACAGAGAAATGTGGGAGCAGGAGCCGGTGGGGATAGCCAAGTGCTGTATCCAGCAGCCACGGCGGGGTGTTGAGAGAGGGGTAAAGTCCTTCCCCGCTCGGATGCCGCGGGGCTAGGGCCGGGGAGCAGAAGCAATTTTGAGCCTGGGCTGCCTCCTCGGTGGTAAAACCGCTCCTGGGAGAGCCGGGCTGCGAGGGAGGGGGCAGAGCTAGGGGCAAAGCTCTTGCTAACTCACCATGTTCCTCCAGTTCTGACGTGGTCTTCTGTCCGCAGAAACGCGGCAAATCTCCTCCAGTCCGGGACCGGGAGGCTGGGGGTGCCCCGCTCCCAGGGAGCCAGGCCAGCGATGCTCCCACCCTGCTGCTCTGCCCGCCCTGTCCTCACACTGGGGCAGGACCGCCCAAGCACTCCTTAAAACCCACAGCAGGAGTTGTGAAACAGGAATTAGGATCTGTATTGTAATATTACACCGGTCTATCAGCAGCACCATCACCTGCAATAGTTTCCTGAGCATCTGCCACCGGAGGGTGACTCACCTGCGGAGCTGCTGTCACAAAATAGTTTATCAGGAGTGAACTGACTGACAGAGCAGGATTTTTCCTGCTCCTCTCCTGATGATAAGAGAAACCACAGCCATCCCGCTCTTTGTCCACCTCTTCCGCGTTGCACCGAGTTGTTTTTAAACAGAGGGTGTAGTAGGTGGAGGAGGAAAGGAGAAGAGTTTACGCATGAGGTTACGGGGCCACTCTACGCTCCCGTCGCTCAGGTCACTCGGTCTGTGTGTCCCAGCGCAGCCCCAGGTGGCGGCGGGCGGGTGCTCCTGGCAGCGCCCCAGTGAAATCAAAAGGAAGGCGAGCGGGTGCCCGTGGCGTTACCTCTGGGGTTGCCGTGTGGGCTGGGGGGCCACGGGCAGCCCCGGCAGTGGCTCAGCAGGCGCAGGCGGCTATGCTGGTGTCCTGGGCAGGCTCGCTGGTGGGAGCGGGGAGCCCACCTCTGCCCAGCAGCTGTGACACCCCGGCAAGCTGGGCAGGGCAGAGGTTTGAGCGTGGCCCCTCCACGCTCCCTTACCTGACCGCTGTGACAAACCTCCCTCTTTCTCCCTGGCTTTTGTCCCTGCTGTGGCACGTGCTGGTGGCTGGTTCCTGCACCACTGGGGCGCTCCTGGGC